AACTCACGGACCGCGAGATCGTGACCTGGCTGAAGTCGGATGCTTAACCGACTGCGCCACCCAGGCGCCCCGCAACTGGTAGGTTTTTTTTGTAACCTTAAGAATGGACTCACATTTAAGATACATTGATTAGTGATGGCATACTTTTTTAAAAAGTTTATTGAGAGAGTGCGGGAGGGGCAGAGAGAGAGGGAAAGAGAGAATCCCAAGCGGGATCCACACTGTGAGTGCAGAGCCCATCGCAGGGCTCAACTCACAAACTGTGAGATCATGACCTGAGCGGAAATCAAGAGCCCCTGACACTTAACTGACTGAGCTACCTAAGCACCCTGATGACATACGTTTTTAAGAAATGGACAACAGTTCCTTGGATTTCCTAAAGTACTTTGCTACAAGGCCTCAGGAATTATTAGCCAAAATGGTAAATGTTCCTTAGTGTGATCATTCCTGTGGAACAATAGTCACAAAAAGTACTTGGTCTCTGGCTGTGAGGCATTGACACTTGTATGATGCAGCTATATTATCCAACTAGCCTAGAGAAAAAAAATCTCCAAGGCAGTGGTTCTCATATTTTAATAAGTCTAAATATTATCTGGTAGTCTTGTTAAAATAGCAGATTCCTATGTACAACCCCTGAGAAATTATGTCTTGGGAACTTTAGGGTGGGGTCCAGGAATGTGAATATTTAGCAAGCTCCCTAGGTATATCTGGTATAATTGATACAAAGTCACATGCTGCAAAATTGCTGTTTTGTGTTAATTTCATACGCAGTATAAAATATTGACCTTCACGCAGTCATAAAGTCTTTGGTTCCAGCTAGACAGATTAATAACCATTAGCTGGAGCCTATCAGGACTCTTTTTTTTTTTTTTTTTTTAAAGATTTTATTTTTAAGTAATCTCTATGCCCAAGATGGGGCTAGAGATCAAGAGTCATATGCTCCACTGAGTCACATGCTTAACCTAGAGATCAAGAGTCACATGCTGTACTGAGCCAGCCAGATGCCCCCCTATCTGGAGTCTCAAGGTAAAAATTCAAATAAATAAATAGTCTGATAATGCCAGAGGGCTTATTTCCCCTACTGCTTATTCTTTTCTTCTTCTAAAGTGATAATACTGCACTAATAAAGGTAGGTGCATTGTTTTAATTTTAAAATGGTAACTCTATTTTCTACCATGCAATCTCAAAAAAAAAAAAAAGGTAAAGTAAAAAGGACACTTATAGATAAATAGAAAGCTCTTGCAAAATATAGTACCCCAATCGTGCAGCTGCGTCACTACACGGGTGCCAAGATTATCCATAAAGTTACACAACTTTTGTAGATGAATTTTAATACAGCTAATACTTTGCAGCTGAAGATAAAATACCCAACGTGTACTTTAAGAACATTTTAGGGGTCTGGGTGGCTTACTCGGTTAAGCATCCAACTCTTTTTTTTTTTTTTTTTCTTTCTTTAATGTTTATTTTTGAGAGAGAGTGTGTGTGTGAGCAGGGAAGGGGCAGAGAGAGGGAGACACTGAATCCGAAGCAGGCTCCAGGCTCCGAGCTGTCAGCACAGGGCCCAATATGGGGCTCGAACCCATATTGTGAGGTCGTGACCTGAGCCGAAGTTGGACACTTATCCAACTGAGCCACCCAGGCGCCCCAGCATCCAACTCTTGATTTCGGCTCAGGTCATGATCTCATGGTTTTGTGAGTTCCAGCCCTGTGTTGGGCTCTGTTCACTGACCACTGACTGAATGGATCCTGCTTGGGATTCTCCCTCTCTCCCTTTCTCTCTGCCCCTCCCCTGCTCACGCTCTGTCTCAAATAGACTTAAAAAAAATTTTTTTTTTTAAATATTAGACATAATTCTAAATCAGTAGCACAGCTGTTGTTTGATCAAAGACCAACCATGCAGGTCAGCCATTTTAAAGGCATCTCTGTAAGAAGTTTCTTGTTTAAAAAAAAGTGAACAGTGTATTCACACTGTAGTAAACTCTGAAGCTTCCTTGTTGTTTTGCTGCTTCTTAGGAGCCCATATTCATAGCACTCATGTCAGATTTCTTTCATTCTCTTTTTTATGCTGGCGGACCTGGTTCCAGGAGTGGAAGAATGTAGGAGTTGAGCAGCTGCGACTCAGCACAGTAGACATGACTGGAGTCCCAACCTTGGCTGACCTCCAGAAAGGAGTCCGGTTTGCTCTCAAGTATCAGTCGCTGGGCCAGTGTGTCTACGTGCATTGTAAGGCTGGGCGTTCCAGAAGTGCTACTATGGTCGCAGCGTATCTGATTCAGGTAGGAAAGGTCTTTCTGGACTGGTCCATTTACAGCAGATTTCTAGAACTTCAGTAGCATGGTCTATTGGCAGGCCTTCCTAGAAGGAGCCATGTCCCCAGTTACAGGCTGTTGGGAGATGGAAAGCACCTGGATTTTGCGGATAGGCTGACCTCTGGCGTTGCTACCTACCAGATGTGTGACTTTAGGCAAAAGTGTCTTCCCCTCTCTGATGCTCAGTTTCCTCAAACTAAATTTGTTCTGAGGTTTGAACAAGAAAGTATGTCAAGCACTGATCTACAGCAGGCACTCAAAAAATGAAGCGCAAAGGATGTTAACACCAGTAAAAGGCTAAAGCACTTTTTATAAATAGCAGTCAGGAAATCCAGTACTTTAGGTAGTAGTGCTGATCACTTATAGCCCTATAGTACTCAAGATTTCTTAAAGTATTTCAGAATAAAGTTCTAGACATTTGTGTCTAGAAACAGAGGCTCCAATGGAATTTTGCCTATCACCTTATGACTGGTAGGTGTGATACTTTCAAGAGTATTTATAAGCAAATACTCTTTAGTCCATTACTACCTGTTATACACCCCCCAACTTGACTCGTTTTTGTTACCTATCTGGCCCCTGTAGAGCATTTATTAAGTTATGTGGATAGTTTAAGGAAAAAGGAAATGTACATGTAATAGGCATCGCTCTGAGTTACTGTGGACTGGTAAGTACATGATTTAACAGTATTAAAGCTTTGATCATTAGGACTCCATTTACTGGAAATGGGTTCTCAGGAGGATATTTTGGGCTGAGTGAGAATTGACTCAGAGGGCTTGAAATCTGTAGATTCTTTGTTCTGTTGAGTTCTAAACCAATATGTATCCTTAGAACACAAAGATAACCCTCCTGGTAAATCTAAAAAGTGCTGTTTTCCTAGCCACGGTGACAAGTTACATAAAAACATCTACCATGTACTCTCTCCAGGAAACTTATAACCAACAGCCCAGCTCCCAGAGGACATCTGATAGGCCTATGCCGGCTTGAAATAGGATCTCAGCTTTGCATGTTCAACCTTCTTTTTTCAGGGTTTGGCAGAGCAAGAATTAGGTAGAAAGACTGACTTGACCTCCCAGCCCATTGCAAGTATTGTGGGACTAGTTGGCCGAGGGAATAAAAGTGCCCCCCACCCCCGCCATTTATAATATATGGGGCATGTTTTTTAACTCCCCTCAAAACGGAGTTTTTAAAATAATGAAATTCTAAGGGCCTTTAGCATCTGTTATTAGGTCAAGAACACCTTAACACCTCCTCTTTTCTTTCTCTGATTTCCCAATCCTGTACTTCAGGTGTACAACTGGAGTCCAGAGGAGGCTGTAAGAGCCATCACCAAGATCCGGTCACACATCCACATCAGATCTGGCCAGTTGGAAGTTCTTAAAGAGTTCCACAAGGAGATTACTGCAGGGGCAGCAAAGAAGGAGTCTTACCACACATCACAGACGTGAAATACACAGATTAGAAAGAACTCAAGACGACCCTGCTTGCTACAGAATCAAATAGTGTAACAGGACCAAGGGGGCTTAAGCCCAGACTTGACAAAGCAGGAATGTGCTAAGTAATGGATAATTTCACTCCCTTTGTCTTGTTTCACTTTCCTGAAGTAACACTGTTGTGTGCTAAGAGAGAGATTTAGTGTGGCTTCAATTCACTGGCTAAGGGGATATGGAATGAGGGGTTTTGTTTTCTTGAATAGGGTCAAAGAACTCGATTGTGTATCTAACACTGTGCCTAATGATACTTAGCCCAACTTAAAGACATTTAAACACTAGGAAGGAGAGGAGAAATACTCAGCTCAGGCTCTTTGCCACTGTCAGACCCCAATTCACTGGCTCCCCGGGGCTCTGTTCCCTTTTGGAGCAGTGATTCTGGATGTAGAAAAGGAAGTATGGGATCCAAGCAGCTTAGAAATGTGTGGGTATGCAATCAATTTTCCCTAGGGAAGTCACTCCTTCAGAATTCAAAACAGACACACATATCCCTTCAAAAACTTTTATTTGTATGAACAGTTCCTAGCTCTTAGTTTATCTTAGAGCTTTTAAAAGAGTAGAGACCTTATATATTTAAGTTTGAAAAAAGTTTCTGCTATTAATCAGAAATAATCCTTTCTACTTCTTTCTGGCTTACCCCTTGGAGTAAGCCAAAAATAAAACCATATTGTACGTTTCCTGACAGAGAGATGAGAAAACAACAGACACAAGTCCTGAATTCTAGAGTTGATGCTTGCTGGTGAAGGACACCTTCAGCTTAGAGCATTCTCCCAACCAAAGCCTGAAGGAAAACTCTAACACCTAATTCTTTGTGGAAAAATTACCAACTACCCACTTTGCAGGCTATAGAAAAAAGGAAGATGGGGCACATTTCCTTCTGTCCTGGATCAGAGGTGCTTAAGTTACTTAACACTGATCAGGTAAAGAGGGGAGGCTGTGCCTATGATCTGAGAAAAGGCTTGTTCTATGAGGCACAGGATTACCAGGGGACGGCAGAGGACAGGCTTGTCTACTCTCCGTTCAAGCAGCCAGCTCAACAGCAGCAGTCTAAAAAGCCCCAAATGGAACACCCCTATGGGTTCAGGAGGGACTGAGGGGCTGCCCTTTCTAACATGTGCCAAAAAAATAACATAGTACTCTGATCGGGGCCCCAGAGACTTCGAGTTTGGATGGATAGGTGCTGGAAAAGGGGAGGGCAAAAGTCAGCTGCTTTTCCCCTATAGCCTTAGGCCAACACAAACTGCAAATTAGTAAGCAGCACCTTAATGCCTCTGGTGACAGTTATAGCTGAAGTGGCAGGGTCAAGCTTGTAGGTGTTGGCATCCCCCTTTTTATATCGGTCCCGGAAAACATAGATACTCCCATTACAGCTGGCGATCTTCCAGAGGGATGGGGCAGAGCTCCAGGCCTCAGGAAGGCAAAGCCGGGTAAAGCTGTCTAGGAGGGGATTGTAGCACACCAGGGAGTCCCCTTCAGCCACGATGAACACCAGATCCTTATGCACAGCCGCGTGCATGCGGCCTGCGAAGGGCAGAACATAGGGCTTCACGTGGCATTTGTCTGTCTCTGTGTCAAAGCACTGGATGAGTCGGGAAGGTTTGGTAAAGAAGTCCAGGTCATTCTCCTCCCCCCCTAGTAAGTAGATGATCCCGTTAAGGTTGGCACCAGCGGCCCCTGACACAGCCACCTCTAGCTGGGTTGTCTCTGTCCAGACGTTATCACCTACCCGATAATAGATAACTGCATTGGAGAGGGTATCCTGCAGTGTCTTGCCACCCAATGAATATATGGCATCTTTCCCAGGCACAGACACCAGGGTGTGCTGGAGCCGGTCCCGGGGCAAAGGTGCACACCATTCCCAGTCCACAGTGGCATTGTTGCACTTCCACATGCGCCGTGGGATGGACCCTCCCACCACGTATAAGTCTCCACCATGCTTGCAGGCTGCAGTGATCTGGTGGCACAAGCTGTTTTGGCCACTTACACTGATGGAGTCATCTTCCGCACAGTGTAAGGACACAGCCAACGAGTGGGTACGAGATGACTCTTTCCCGATCAGGTAAATGTGCACATTCTCCCCGATCTCCTATTGGCAAAATTAAAATTATAGATGACATCTATCAGTTCTAGGCTAAGACTCAGCTGAGACACAGATCTAAAGGTTCTGGACCACACACTTGTATCTTGCTCTAACCCGCTACTTCCCTCTGGTTACTGTATGCCATCCTGACTCTCACCTTTCAGTCATTATATGCTAGGGCAGAGAATCTGTTGCTCTCATCCTGAGCTGGTGCTTTAGGAAAAAGGTGCTTAGGATTAACGCAATGGTGAAAGTAGTTCTCTCAAGGAACTTTATGGAGCTCGGAGGCTGAGCTATGGTTTCTAGGCTCATGCACACATCCTCCTCCCCAGTTCTTAACTTTGAGCCAGAGATGACTTAATCAACATCACCAGGTATCAAAGAGGCCAGATCAGTAGATGGCTGGAATGTATAGATATTATGGTGTCCCAACCCTAAAGCAAAATCTGCCTTACCTTCAAGCTAGTCCTGAGTGACTCTGCAAAAGCCTCTCTTTCTTCTTTATTAAAATTGATCCAGGCTTCTATTGCCTCTGTTGGGTTCTGAGAACATGGAACTCCATCTGTGAGAGCCAGAGGAAAGGCATGGTCAATGGCAATCCAACAATCCAAAAGGGAAATTTAGAGCCAGTGGCTTTAAAGATACAAACCGCTTTGTTATCCTACCACCATGTATGTACGTGCGTGTGTATAAGAAGTTAACCTACGTTGCATTATTTCTTTTAATCAGAATGGATGACCTGATATGCTCATATTTGCCATGGAAGCAGTCTACAGGCTGCAGAGCTCACACCTGCTAAAGTATAGCATACCTCACTAGCAGGGCCAGGATTGTTTACCTACAATTGCCGCATCACTTAAAAAGTTTCTTTTTTAAAATTTTATTTTTTAATGTTTATTTTTGAGAGGGAGAGAGACAGAGCACAAATGGGAGGTGCAGAGAGAGAGGGAGACACACAGCATCTGAAGCAGGCTCCAGGTTCTGAGCTGTCAGCATAGAGCCTGATGCAGGGCTCGAACTCACAGACTGCGAGATCATGACCTGAGCTGAAGTCGGATGCTTAACTGGCTGAGCCACCCAGGTGCCCCTCACTTAAAAAGTTTCTTATGTAAGGGCACCTGGATGGCTCAGTCAGTTAAGCCTCCGACTCTTGGTTTTGGCTCAGGTCATGATCTCAGTTTCTGGGATCAAGCCCTGGGTTGGACTCTGTGCTGTTAATGTGGAGCCTGCTTGGGATTCTCTCTCTCATTCTCTCTCAATAAACTTTAAAAAAATAAGTTTTTTAAAAATAATTTTGTTTATTTATTTTATTTATTTATTTATTTTGAGAGAGAGAGGGAGAGAGAAAATCCCAAGCAGGCTCCACGCCATACGTGCAGAGCCTGATACAGGGCCCAAACCCATGAACCTCGAGATCACAACCTAAGCCAAAACCAAGAGTCAGATTCTTAACCAACTGAGCCATCCCCCCACTGCCAAAGTAAGCTTTGTTTTAAAAAAGTTCCTTATGTAAATACCTTGACCCATCAATTTACTTAGATAACTAGTCCCACAAGTACGTGCAAAGTACAGGATAGATGAGAACAATTATACACAAAAGATACCAGAGTATAAATACAAACAGCTCCTCACTACATTTTGGGGGTGAGCCCTGCTTTTTTTCTAATTCAACACTTGTATATAGACCCTTGAAAAACACGGGTTTGAACTATGTGGGTCCACTTATATGCGGGTTTTATTCAATAAATACAGTACAATATTGTAAATGTACTTTCCCTTCCTTATGATTTTCCCAATAACGTTTTCTTTTCTCTAGCCTTATTGTAAGAACACAATACATACAGTACATGACGTACAACATACAAAATATGTGTTAACGGTTTTTGTTATTGATAATGCTTCTGGTCGACAGAAGGCTATTTGTAAAGTTTTGGGGGAGTCAAAAGTTACACATGGAATTTTGACTGTGCAGAGGTTGGCAGTCCTAATCCCCACGTCGTTCAGGGGTTAACTGTGTATTGCACAGTACTATTATATTTTCCAGGTTTCCTCCCCTAAAAGGGATTGCCTGTGACAACAGCTAACTCGCAGCTGAATCTCTCAGAAGGCATCTAAATTCCTACCAGGAATAATAATGTAAATTAACACCAGAAAGCCTGAAGGCTCCTTTCTCCTGAACTAGAATGTCCACTAAACATCATATGCAAGTAGCTGAGTATGACGGGCCCCATCCCTCAACTTACCCGAGATGATATCAGTGAGCAGATGGTGGGGCAGGTGGAGAAATTCCTCTGTGCTCTGCAGCTGGGCCAGGTGGGCCTTGGCACAGTGTTTGGCGGCAGTGTACAGCTCAGGATCGCTGTGCCTGTCTGCCAGCCACATCACCTGAAGGCAGTTCCCCACCTGCACGGTGCGGGCCAAGAACCGAGAACATTCCTCAAAGAGAGATGTCAGCTGATACATGTCTGACACCTCATAAATTTCCTGCAGCTCTTCAGCTCGAAGTTTCACAGTCCCGTGGTAGATATAATCAACCAGGAGCTGGAAGACAGACTCACTGACATCCTGCAGTACAATTACCCGGTTGTGAGCCTCCTTCAGGTTGGAAGTGAACATGGACCGGAAAAAGCAGCTCTGAGCTGAGAGGACCAGCCGGTGGAGCTGAAACTCCCGGCCTTCCACCGAAATGGTGACATCAGCAAAGAGCTCTTCCTCCAGACACAGTTTCATGATGCCCTGAGCCACACGGCCTGAGTGTGACCGATCTTTGAAAGTGTAGTTCACAAAGTAGTTTTCATCCATGGATGCTCCAGGCTCCTCTGGTGATTCCATGGCAGCCAACTTCTCTCTCTGCCAGCTGTCTGCAAAGCAATACCACCCTGAGTAATGGGGAATTCACAGTCTATGAATCCAACTGTTCAATTTATGGAGGGAGAAGGTAAAAGAGCAAAGTGGGCCAAGATTGGCCTTAGTCCTGGCCCTAATGACATCTCAGAAGCTCTCCTTCAACCGAAGCTGGGTTCATTTTCCTGCAGTGACACTCCATTCCTAATGAAATCGATAAAACGTCCTACTCTGGGTGTTTCCGTATAAAAACAATATTCCTTTCCATGATGTAATAAAAACCTGGCTATTTAGGTCAACACATGAGAACAAGCGACTGGAGGAAATCTATGATATTAAAAGCCGGGCAAAAAGCCTTACTAACCAAATGACTATTGGGCATAAAACTAGTGAGGCTCTGGGCAGGAGAACCCAATAGACCCCAGCGACCTTCTGGTCGAGGCCCCTCTTCCCCCACGTGCATGGAGTTCAGACCTTCCAATATGAGGCTTGGCCTGGGACATCTGTTAGCTCCACATTTCCTCTTTTCTGAGCTTCTCCCCCCTCACGCCCTGATGACTTTCCAAGACGCCGTTCCAGAACTAGAGACGAAGCCCCGCCGTCCCAGCAAGGGGCACTAGTAGGCCTAACGCCAAGTACTGTCCCCGCTTCACCTGGAGTCGCCTGGGAAACGGTCGCTAGGGAAACCACTCTTCTCTCCCCCTTCCCCTATCCCCTCCACGCCCCCTCCCGGCCACGCCCGCCGGCCCTCGTCAAAAGCTTAGCTCAGGGAGCGGGGGAGGGGTGTGGAATGTGGAACCCAGACCCCTGCCCCTTCCCCTCCTCTCACCCCTCCGGTTCATTAGGGTCCTCGCCTTCTCTACAGTCTCTACCACACCAAACTCGGGCTACGTTCACCTCACGGCTTCCCCACCTGCCTGCCTCGGTTTCTCACCTGCTTTCCCTCCTTTCATTCCGAAGCCCGGAACCCGGAACCTCTGCTTCTAGCCCCGCGTCCGCCCGGAAGAAAATCAGATGCATGCTTCCGCTTCCGGTCCGTGCCCTTGGGGTTCCGTGTCCTGTGGGTCTTGGATGCCTGGTCTGTAACCTGGAACATGGCCGCGACGGCGGCTGCTGCGAGGGGCTGGTGGCGGGGTCTCGTAGGGTCCGTGGCGTTGGCCAGGGGTAAGCAGGGGGCAGGTGGCTGAGGCCCTGGGCGGGAGCGGAGGCGCGCCTGGCGCAGGGAGCCTATCAGGCCTCACTCTGCGCTTATTTTTCCGTACAGTGGCCGGGCGACCCTCGGTGCTGTTGCTGCCGGTGAGGAGGGAAAGCGTCGCGACAGACACGCGCCGTATGTGTGGGCCGGGCCCTTCTCGGGACTACAGGCGGGGGACCCTTCATTCTTTTGGATATTTGCCCTTGTCCTGGGATGCCCTTCCCTGCGTCCTTTGGCAGATCTCTGTGGAGACCTGACTGCAGTGGTCCTCATGCAAGCAGAATCGAACTCTTCGCTGTGCCCTTTTAGCTCCCTGTTACGGCCTTGATTGACCCCTGTCCATTTCCATGATTCCCTTTCTCTCCGATTAAACTGTCAGCTCTTTGAGATCAGGAAACAACGTTTGGGTCTCAGAGCCATTATGATAGGAATTCACATTAATTGAGTGCTTCTTGTGTGCCAAGCACCTTGCTAAGCGATTTAGCGAGGGATCTTAGTCCTTAGGACAGTCTTACGAGGTAGATAGCATTGTGCTCTTTTTACTATACATTAGGAAACAATGCAGAGAAGTAACTTACCCAGAGTCACAGCACTAGCGAGTGACAGAGCAGGCCTGTCTGCTGCCAGAGTCAGACAACACTTAACCATGATGTGTGCAGTCTATGATGTGTGGGTACTCATGGTTTAGGGTTGCATGCATACGTGTATGGAGATATAGTACAATCAACATAAGTAGACTGGGAGTCAAGAGACCTGGTATTTCCCCCTTTTTGGCCCTCAGTTACCTCAA